GGAATCCCTGCCCCGTGCCACCGGGACGGGGACTGTTCAGTCTGGCCCCGCTGCTCAGTCTAGCAGGGACTTGAGGTTGGGCTGTGATGGGTCCCCAGGGTCTCCCCGCTCCCTGAGTGCCAGAGCATCCTCTGGCCTTTCCCTCCTCTCCCTGCTGCTCTGACTGCTGCTCCTGGCTGGGCTCTGACAGCGCAGGGGTCCGGGGCCTGAGCATCCCCATGGGACACACGGGGGTCACCTCACCTTCAGCACCATCCCCATACCGCTGGCATCCTTACTGGCGGCACGCACTTTGGTTATCCTGTGTTTCTCACTGGTGCTTCGGTTGTCCTGTGTTTCTCTCCTCTCTGCCCTCCAGTGGAAGGTCCCTACCTTGTCATCATCGAGCAGCCAAAGCAGGTAAGGATGTCACCCAGGTAAGGGCAGGCGTAGCTGTCACCCCCTGCTCTCACAGCATCAGGTGTGGGCCACCCTTGGCTGACTCCCTCTTTGCCTCCACAGCGGGGGTTCCGGTTTCGGTACGGCTGCGAGGGCCCTTCGCATGGGGGGCTGCCGGGAGCATCCAGCGAGAAGGGGCGCAAGACCTATCCCACTGTCAAGGTGAGCGCTGCCCTGGTGAGGGGACAGGGCGCTGTCTTCAGCCAGTGCGTGCGAGCACCGGGAGGGTGCCTCGAAGGAAGGACGTGATCTGTATATTAAGCTCTGCGCGTCTCCTGGCGCTGGAGGGATGGGAGGGCTGCAGCAGGAGGGGTGGTGGCTGTGGGGAGGGATAGTGGGGGTTTGCGGAGAGTCCTGCAGGCTCCCGGGACATTGTACCTGACTCCCATCTCCTTTCTCCCCACAGATCTGCAACTACACAGGGATGGCCCGGATTGAGGTGGACCTGGTGACGCACAGTGACCCTCCCCGTGTGCATGCCCACAGCCTGGTGGGCAAGCAGTGCAATGAGGCTGGCAACTGCATTGCGATCGTGGGCCCCAAGGACATGACGGCTCAGTACGTGCGGAGGGAGACCCGGGGTGGCCTCTTGCTTACACGGGGTGGCTGGGGGGCTGTCTGCAGCTTACGGGCTGGGGAGAAGAGGAGGGTTAGTGCATCCAGCAGCGGGGTTTGCTGGATGGAGCCAGGAGTGGGTTTAGACAAGGTTGTCGGTACAGCTCTGTCCCCTGAACATTTTGCCCAGCTCTGGGTCTGGCATGTGCAGCTTGTTTTGGGCTTCTGTCCTCAGGGTTGCAGCTCCCCAGCTTTGCAGATGACTTCTGTTAGCCAACCTGAGTTGCAGGGTTATTTGGTAAGCGCTGGCCGGCAGCTCCCTGCCCGGGCAGCTGCTGAGGCAGGAGCAGGCAAGCTCCTGGCTGCTCAGGTGGCCGTGTGCCCTGACACTGCTGGCCCGGCAGCCGGGTTTGGAGAAGAGGGTGTTTTCCATGGGTCTTCTGCTGGAGCAGGACAGGAGGGGCCGGAGCTGCGTGCACTTTACTGCTCCATATGAAGTTTCTTGTAGCTCTTCTAAATCCAGCCCCGGCCGCTGGCTCAGCCGGGTCCCATCTGTATCTCTCTGGCCTCCAGCCCTCCTGGTCCCCTGCTTTGGACTTGTCACTTGTGGGAGCCTGGAGTTTCCCAGCCACCTCTTTTCTGGGCTCCTTCCCTCCACTCTGCAGTTGCTCCTCTTTGTCCTGCAACACATTGAGCCCCCGCTGCCCCGAGCAGCACCACTCTCTGCTTTGCTCAGCTCCTTCCCTTCAGCGCACAGGATCCTGTGTGCCCCCCGGGCGGGCTGCTCCCAGCCAGGGCACTCCCAAGATCCCAGCGGGATCCCTGTTCTCCTCCAGGTTCAGCAACCTGGGTGTGCTCCACGTCACCAAGAAGAACATGATGGAGATCATGAAGGAAAAGCTGAAGCAGCAGAAGATGCGTAACAGGAGCCATCTGCTGACGGGTGAGGGCAGCCTCGGGGCTCCGTGGGACTTGACGCCCCAGGGGAGCGGGGACTCGCTGCAGGGTGACAGCTGGGGGGCTGGTGGGGGACAGGCAGCCCTGTCCCCTTGCCCAGCCTGATGGCATCTCCCCCTGCCCTGGCAGAAGCAGAGCTGCATGAGATCGAGCTGGAGGCAAAGGAGCTGAAGAAGGTGATGGACCTGAGCATCGTGCGGTTGCGATTCACTGCCTACCTCCGCGACAGCAGCGGGAACTTCACGCTGGCCCTCCAGCCTGTCATCTCGGACCCCATCCATGACAGCAGTGAGCGTGGGGCGAGGCTGGGGAGGGGACGAGGCAGGATGGGGTACGGAGGTGAGGGATGCTCTGTCTGCTACAGTGGCTCCCAACGCCTCCTCTTGCTCTGCAGAGTCTCCAGGAGCTTCCAACCTGAAGATCTCACGGATGGATAAGACGGCAGGCTCGGTGCGGGGAGGAGACGAGGTCTACTTGCTCTGTGATAAAGTTCAGAAAGGTAAAAGCCATTCCCTCCAGCCGAAACCTTCCGGAGGGGCTGCAGTGGGAGAGATCTGGGACCCCTGGGCGGCCGGGGGTCTGCGTCCCTGGAGCCTGTCTGGGGTGGGGAGACATGTGGTGCCAGCACCCCTTCTCTCCCCAGATGACATCGAGGTGCGTTTCTACGAGGATGACGAGAACGGCTGGCAGGCCTTTGGGGACTTCTCCCCCA